TGTTTGTTTTTTGGTACTCGCCAAAACCGATAGTGAAATTAGTAACCTACTTAATATTAATCAATCAGAGGCATCCTGGGACATTTAATTCATCTCTGTTTGTTTAAAATAGTGGTAATGAAAAAATTAATTGTTCACGCTACTAGGCTTATTCTTTATAACGTTAGCTAGTTAATTTTAAAGGAGGTGCATTAGCTAGCTGCATTAGTTAGCTTGGATTGAGTAGGGTTGCGGTGGAGAGCATCAGGTTTTGTTTCACTTCAGAAAAACGCTTCTGTATCTATAAGTAAAGTACGTTTTTGTTTTCATCGTGACAATCCCTCATAGTTAATGACAGATAGTGGCTGATTGTCAAGAACAACATATGGGGTAAGAGCTGTTATTTTCACTCACATAGCTTTATTTTGATTACGCCACATTAAAAACACACCCATTCATTAACTCTTACAGATATTAGAATGCACATGCCTGGCCTCCTAACACAGTCATAACAGACCAAATTTCCAGTGTAGCTCTACAGTAGATAAAGAAGTGCTCTCGGCAGACCTGAGCTACACGCAATGCTTTGACATTGACTTTTGCCACCCAGTGAAGACTTCAGTGCTCTAATCAATATCTCACCTCTGTTCCAGAGAATGAGTGTTACACGTACAGCTGCCGCTGTGGTGGCGAGTTTCTTCTGGAGAAAGAGGATGCAGAGGGGGACGAGGATGCTGTCGTGTGCTGCAACACGTGCTCGCTCAGCATCGAAGTGAAGAGAGCTACATGATGGAAGCATAAGCGTTCTTCCTCAACGAGGTGAACTCATCAACCTGTTGTTTCAGTGTCGTTCTTAATTCAGAGCTCATTATTGGGTACACCAAAGTAGTGCCTAATAATTGGCACCTCAGTATACGCCAATCATAGGACATTATTTTGATTATTTTTTTTTATTTGTCAAAATGGCAGAATAATGTCAACTGGTGTTCATATAAACTTGAAAACATTTAGTGGTGAATATTCACACACTATTTTTTTATGTACAACGATGCTCCGTATTGTAAAACTTATTTCATACACTGTGTATTTATTAAAAATGAAAGTTGTATACTTTTGTGTCCTTTCTCACTCTTTTTTGAAATTCTGTCACATTGCTGTTGAAACCCTGGGCACCCTGCTCCTTCAAACGTAGTTCAAAAGTGAAGTATATAAATAATTTTCTTATTTACAACTACTTAGACTAAAGGGAAAAGAAACTTTTTTGTTTTTGGCTGAACCGTCACTTTAATTCTCATATATCCCTACTTCACAGCAACTCTTTTAGGAAGTGGGTCATGTTATTCTCTTTCCTAAAAGCCCTCAGGTTATTTCCTCCAAGCTTCTTGTGCTCTTTTTCTCAGAACAACATGGCGTCCTTCCCCCAGCTTTTTAAAGACGCAGCTCACTAACTCCTCTTAACTTTACTTGTAAATAAATACGTTTTGGAATAAAATCACAAACTGCCTCAGCACTTTGCAAAAAAAAACAACAATTTGTTTTGTCTTGTCTCTCATTTTTCCCCCCAATAGTCAGGAATCCATGGAGTTTCGAAGGAACAAGGTCACGGGTTGATTAAGACTTCAAACACAGTCATTAGGCTTTTCTGTAAAAATCTGTCCTCTCTCAGAAAAAGCGGCTTGAGCAGAGCAAAAAGCGCGCTTTTCATCAGCGTCCCCTCCTGAAGCCGGACCTGCCAGTGGGCCTGCAGCGGACCGAACCCTAATCCATACTGACATCAATTAGGGATAATCTCATCACTTTTAGAGAGTGGGCTTGTCAAAGCTCTAATTAAGTGTGCTGTCCACCCAGCAGCCCCCCCCCATATATGTGCAGACAGGATCAACAACACATTGTAGGCCAGTGATGGACATCTTTGTGCTATTTTTGTGAAAGTCTCAGATTTTCACCTGGTCTTGATATCAATATGATGTGTACTACTGCAATTAAAATAATCGTATTTCTGTATTATATTGGCTAAAATGGTTGGTTTACAGATTATTGCACAAGTTTTTGATCAAGACTCAGTGGCAGGACGGCACAAAGAAGCACCATCAAGAGGATCAAGACTCAAGAAGTTGTCATTTTGCCAGCACCAGGTAGTGAAATTATAGTTTACAAAACAGCGTTGAATAAAATAGAGGCAACCAGGGATGGCTGATGTACTGATTGTATGATGTACAAATGGGCTAGCAGGGCTAAGTCATTGAAAGATAAAAAGACATGAATATAAGGTTTTGTTTTTGGCATTGATTAGATTTTTGCTGTTCACAAATGTCGGAGTATTTTGGATTTTTGTGGAAACAAGCGTCACCTGTGGCCACACAGAATGGTATGAAGAAGTGAGAAGCGAGGCTGGGGCTGATTTCTTTCTAGACCAGACTGTAGCCTCATGCAGCGTATAAGTGACAGTCGTGTCAGGTGATCACACAAAGTAGAACTCTAGATTTGATCTCCATTTGGGCTGATATTTCTCAAACATCCGTAACACGTCATCAGCAGTGATTGAGAAGGCATGTGTGGAATCCTTTTTTCTCCAAAAAAACCTTTTGAGGAGAAAATAAGAGTAGTTAATCTAAACACATATTGTCCCACAAAAGTACAGATTACACAAACAGACAGATGATAGACCTGGGTTACTAAAAATTGGCTTACTAAGTGATTTTCATCTGCAACAAAGTGAATTTAGCCCTCACACTCTGGATATAATCAACTCTTACAATACAGTTTACGTCAGCCTTTTCCTTCTAAAATGATACTCTGAGCTCGTTTAGCAGGTATTACTGTTAACGTTAATGTTAAGCTTTCATAATTTTTCAGTAAAAATAGTAGCAAAGTGTAATACTGTACATTAGCAGGTGAATGTAACCTGGTGTGACCTCGATGCTTGACACCTTTTCTCACGTCAGTCCCGGTGTGCCATGGTGTGTGTGAGAGCGAAAGAATAGCAGCAGTAACCTTAAACTCCCGTCAAGTGAGAACTGGTGGATTTCACTGATCTCCCACTCACTTCACAGGTTGCCCTGAGAAGCGTTTCCTTCAAAGCAAGCCTGATGCTCGGAGAAGGAGGGGGAGGAGGGGCGGAAAGCCACTCTTTTTCTTTTAATGAACTTTTCCTTTACATTCTCCCTCCTCCTGCTCTCTCCTTGAACTCGACCATAATCTCGGGCAGACAAAAGCACGGCCCTCCTCCCGCTTCCAGTTCATATTCCAGCTCAAATCTTTTAAAATGGCTTCCCTGTTTTAGGCTGAGACTACAAATGTAATTGTGTTCCCGGGATCATGGGTGTTAGTCTCACAATAGTTGGTCGTCACAGGAACCAGCAGGTGCTGCTTTCCTAATCACAAACTAGAAAAATGTTGTTTTTATTTTGATTGTTACTTTTTTTAATTTGGACAGATTGTGATGGAGTAAATTTGTGTGTAGAAAAGATCAGCGATTTTATCATCCTTGCCTCGATCCTACATGGATCATTTAGCAGATCTTGACTTGCTTCATGCAAACTAGCATTCCAGCCTCTTCTTCACCAATCCATTCAATTAGTTGGCAAGAATCAAGAGTTAAGGGCATGTTGGTTTGGTTCCATACATTTGGAGGGCTTTCCCTTTGTGCCACTGTTTCAAAAGACGACGTGTCCTCTGTTCACCCAAGCATCAAAGTTTGCCCTGAAGATCAGGAGTCTCCAACGTCCCAATTCAAACTTCCTCGCTGATTCCTGAGAGCAAACATAGAATCATATGGCCATTTAATGGCTGTTGGAGTATCAAGGAAATAGGCTTAAAGTACTTCTGGACTTAAAACGGGATTCTAAAATCCTCTTGGATAGCTGATTCTGATTATATAGGTTAAATTTGGGTCAAAGCTGTTAAAGTATTAACATCATAGTTTTTTATTTAAAACAGAGACATTCTCATTGACATTTGGGGTTGGGACTGGGACATATTATGTATAAGTGCAGTTTGTGATGTCACAAAATATACTTGACAGCTTGAACCTATCACAGCCAATATGCATTAGAGTATTACTAGAGTATTGCTTTTGATGACACAGATCCTGAATCCCACTCATGTCTACATGCAACAAATGTAAACTAGCTTACTAGCCTTAGTAGCTAGCTGGAGGTTAGCGATGGAGAACATGGGTTTCCAGTGGTCATTTATATATATATATATATATATATATATATATATATATATATATATATATATATATATGTATGTATGAGGGAAACATTGAGATTTTTAGTAATTCCTAGGCCTTTGTTTGCATTTATTATTTGTGGGTAGATGTGTGCTACCCATAAGTATAATCCTGTGTTCTGAAAAGCGCATGTGTATTTGTATGCATGTTTGTGTGATGGGGGCTGAGGGATTGCAGGCGGCCCTGTGCCTGCACTCTCATTGTTTCTTTGTTTATGTTAGACACTGTGTCAGAGAGCCAGAGGTTTACTGCCCAACCCATCATCTGACTCACTCAACTGGCACTAACACTAACAGCCCTCAGTGCAATCCTGTACCTGTGTGTGTGTGTGTGTATGTATGTGTGAGCCAAAGCTGGAGAGGGGGATCGGTTTGATTCAATATCATTAAATCAAACCATCACCTTGCAACCCTCATCTTCAACCCAGAGACAATTTTAACTTCTTCTAAACGTGAGCAGGGTTGCCAAGGTTGCACTTTTTACAGCAAATTGCGCGAGTTTTGGAAAAAGGTTGTGGGTAGAAAAAGCAAGTCCAGAGGTATCATTAGTTTGGGATTATATTTAATCAATCATTGGCTATGCCAAAAGGAATGTGTAAAGTCTAGTTATGAGAACATGTTCAAATGAAGTAGCGAGGCTAGTAATATTCATTCTGTGTGTTTCTTTAGATATACCACCAGAATGCCAGGTCTAAAAGACAACAAGAAGAACATACCGTGAAAATTGAAAAAGGGAAAATGAGATTATGGAGTGAATAATGGCCAAGCCACAATGGCCTTACCGGGGCAGTGGTCGCTCAGTGGTTATGACGTTGGGCTACTGCTCGGAAGGTTGTGAGTTCAAATCCCAGCACTGCCAAGTTGCTACTGTTGGGCCCTTACCCCTCAGCTGCTAAGCTGTATAAATGAGATAACTGTAAGTCACGCTGGATAAGGGTGTCTGCCAAATGCCATAAATAATACAAAGGCATATTGTAGATACCGTAAAGCAGAAATGTGCCTGCTCTGCAGTGACCTAGTTTACTATGCAAAGAAAGAAGCACTTCCAGTGGCTGAACATTTTGGGCTAGTTTCAGTTTTTTGTGCTGTTTTCGAGATGTAGTTGGCCTGGAGATTTTGCTGAGACCTGGCAACACTGTACTTGAAATATTCGAAACCCACTCACTCTCCAGCCCGGAGGCACATTTATCTTTCTCTTAAAACCACCATCACTGCTGTCCTAGCAAACTCTTCAATGCTGCCATATAAAATGATGCCTTGTTACCAAGTGAAAGTCGGCTACAACGTTCGGGTTTAAGAGCCTATTTACACGTTTGTTGTGAAAGCAGTTGCCAGAGGGGAGTCTCTCTGTGACTGTGTCCCCATTGTAAGCAACGTCACTAGAGCCCAGAGATGCCCACAGGCCCTGGAGTGCCCCCTTCCCCCCACCCACACCCTGCAAGCCCAGACCTGCCCGGACCTGACTTAAAAATAACCCCAGATTGTTAATCATGCAGACGCTTCCCCTCCCTCCTTCCACATACACACCCACCCTACACCCTCCCTTGTGTTCATTATGTTGACCCCATCACTAGAAAAGCCCCCATGTGTCTGCTTCTAAATGTTCTCATGTCATTCAGAATGGCACACATAGGCTTCCTTCGACTTGCGAGGCCAAGGTTGTTTTGTAGCCTCACATCCCAGGGGGCCACTAGCGCATTATCAGCCATTAACTGTAAATCTGAAGGATGGTTACTCTGAGGTTTCTGACTAAGACTTGCAGATCCAGATTTTACTGTGAGACAGCCTTGGCTACTGGCCATCCTGCTGATTGGTGGTTTATGGAATGGGATGCAGAGGTTGTTGTGATTATTGAGAGGAATTACACTGTGTATCATTTATGAAACAATAGGGTGGGCTGTTCTAAGAAAATAATCAGTGATAGTGTGGTGTAATGTGGCCTGGCATGACTGAGTTACAGTTACCACCCTGAAGTTGATTGTTTTCCTGCACATCTGCACAGATGTTCCTTTCTAGTACGTTCATCAGTTTTATTAATAACAGATCAAAATTTTAAATTTTGTCATTTAAAAGTCGTTCTCCAAATATTGTAATTATTTTTCCCAAATATAGATGGATAATTGTATGTGTAGCCTCATCAGAAACTGTTTTACCACCTAATAAAACAATCAAGCCATATACAACTTGAGTACTTGAATGTACTTGGAATGTGGATTGATCTTGCAATGACTATAAGCAACCTGTGAGTAATTACCACAAATAAAATAATACATTGAATACTTTTAAAAAGGTTATTTAAGTCTTGTTAATGTCTCAATTTTTCAAAATTTTGTGTTTACGTGCGAAGTAATGGCACAATGTAACAATAGTAGAGTTGTTTTACAGCGCTGCAGGCCTTGTGTTATATTTTGACACAATGCTATCAAAGTGCTTCTTCATGCCACTGTGAATTTTTCAAGCCAGCAGTTGGCCCAGCTTCGGCCCAGGATAAAAAGTTCAAGTGTCATCTGTGTAGACCATAGCTTTTTACCCCAAATAGCCTAATTTCCAAAAATTAATGTTTTGTTATTTGGTATTGGACTTCAGTTTGTTTAAGTCATATTTGATGAAGTTGGAAGACAAAAACAATTAAAGTTCCATTGCATTCCCATGATTGGTATTTACTGTCATTTGAGAGTACTCTAATACGTGCCCATTGTACTGTTCTGGTGAAGACTGAACCACAATAGTAATGTTACGACAGTGCTTGTATGACATACTTTTTATAGAAAAACAAGTTCTCTTCACTAGTGCCACTAGTTAATTTGTAATTAATTAGTACCAAAATGGTGGAACTAATTATTTCTTCATTCTCTAAGAATGAAGAATGTCATATCATTTTAAGGTTTTAAAATACATACAAATGGGGAAGCTTCGTCTGGAAAACTGCTTGGAATCAATCAACTAGCATGATTGCACTGTTTTAATTTATTATTAATTCTAGACAATGAATCCTAACTCCCCTTTGAACTTTGGAATGACATCTCGTCTGTGGGTTTTTGGGGCTTTGGTTATGGATAATGAGCTCTACCCTTTATTTTCCCTCCACTCTCTCTCTCTTGTCTCGCCTGGTGATGGAATTAACTAGAGGCTCGCAGAGCGGAAATCACTTGCGGCCGTTCTGAATGATGTCCCAGAGATGGGAACGGATTAGTGCCCTCTCTTTCTCCGCCCGTAACAGCACCAGGTGGCTTTTTTCAGTTGCAAAGGTGTTACACTTAATCTCATTACATTGCTGCTAAACCTCACAGACCTCAAAATTATCACCCCCACCACTCTTTCTCTTTCTTGCTCTCTCTCCTCAATTTCTCTTCACCCCTCCCTTTCTTCCCATCCTCTCTCTTTCCAAGTCACTGGAGGTGGCTCCACCTGAAAGGAGAGAGAAATTGGTGAGGCGGCTGCTGTTTTAGCTGCCACCGCTGACTCACAGCGAACACCAATCCTGATCCAATTTCGCCACGCTGGTGGCCTCTTATTCCCCTGTCCAATAATGTGTCTGCTGGAAAAATCCCACTGCTTCAAATCAAGTCTAATCCTTGCCGGAGACAGTGTGTCAATCTCATCCTTCAAAAAAACATACAGCAGGTCTCCACCCGCTATCTCCCTCTCTGTATCTCTCTTTCTATTTCTCAATCCAGTTCATAAGGCTCTTGGGACTGTCCTCTAAGTCCCTCATCTCCTCAAAAGAATAGAAAAGGGATCACACAACATGACCTCCTAGCACCTTGATATCACAATATTGCAATCCTTGGGGCATTGGGACGTAGGTACGGATTAATACTTTGCATAATAAGATTACACGCTGGCTGAATGATATCAAGGGAGGATCCATATGTGGCAGGCTGGCGGTCTGTTGCCCGATCGCTAGTGGATGGTATAAATTGCAGATTGGGTGGGGGACCTTGGAGGGGATTGAAATCAAACAGGATTCAGAAGATTCAGATCAGATGAACATGCTGGCCATTTGCAGCCAAGGCTTTATCGCTTGCTGGACCTGGATCTGCCCACATGTTTCCACATATGATGGGTTAATTCCACTGCTCTGGTTGTGTTTTGAAACTGCCCCAAGGATTCACATTTTTACTAGGACTTTGCTTCATTATTTGTGAACCTACAGATCACAAATAGAGTATAGATGCTAGATGAAGACCGCTCATTGATCTGTGAAATACAAGAAAACCCTCAAAGAAAGGGGAAACTTTGGATGGTAGAGTTGTTGGAATGCCAGGATTTGCTCGCAAACAAAAGTCCCATCATTGCCATTGTGGTCTTTGGAAAGAAATGTCACTGAGAAACTTTCCAATATCCAGTTTCCTTGCTCAGGAATGACTGAACGGGGCCTTGCAGAGAAAGCTAGAGTGATAGGTTGTCTGAAAGGCTAGTGGAAGAGCTTTTTTGTTTGTGGAATACCTCAGATGCCAACTGTGATGCATCCTGCTGAGAGGCTCCTGCCTTTCACTCAGGAATCCCATCATCCACCTCTCTCCATTCCAGATCTAGCTCCATATTCCAATATAGTGCTCAGAAAGGACTGTGGGTCAGGAATGGGTAGCAGAGGCTTTCGGCTCATTGCAGTTTGACAGAAAATGGCTGAGTCAGTAAGTGGGATAGGATCAATAAACAGGGGCAGGATTGCAGAGCCGAGGCTCTGCTAAATGACTGTGAGTCTGAGTACAGTGCGAGCTCGTTGGCCACTCCAGCACTGTGGGAAACCTGGGGAACTGTAAAAGCTTAGCAGTAGGGGGTCCCGAATTGAAAACACACCTACTGGCATTAAACAATGCCCTACTCAGTGGCGTTCAACCACTAACCTCTCCGTTTGGTACCATGGGCTTTAATGCTGGTCAGAGAGAAGGTTATTGTTGCTGTGTTAACATTCGTTTTGGCCCTCTTGGATTTGAGGCAAATTTGAGCAAAGACCAGGGCAAGTAGACCCAGTGCACAAAGATGTCTTGAGTGTTTAGGAAGGAACAAAAAGGACAAAAGTGACCCAGCTGGGAAATTGTTGTGCTAATTCGTTATCCTCTGCTGACCAAAAATCTTTAATCATGTAGTTGATCATTAACAACATTTATTTGTTGATGGGTTTGATATCCACCCAAGAGGGTCACCTCATATGTAAAACACCCGCCTAATCCGTTTGTCTAATAAACATCTTATCTTTTATAGATGCTGATCAACACCCCTGTTCCCCACAAACCCACTCTGGATTAAGGTCACGGCCTGTGATCGCAAAATGTGCGTCACCTGCTTATCTTATATCAGAGCCCCCTGCCTCTTATGCAAATATGCCAAGATAGGACTTGGATCCATGTACCAGGCTCCCCCCTCAGATCGGTTCCATTTCCCCCAGTGTTTGAGCTGCTGATAACAATCACTGCTGAACAAGTGTACCACATCACAGACCCAAATTAGCAAAACATGGGAAGAGAGGTCCAGGCAGCTGCCAGCCAAAGAGGATTAGAGGAGTCCCTCAGTCCCTCAGCCCCAACTCACAAATTACATATGATAATCAAGCAGCAGCTTCACAAATGCAGTTGAAGAAAGTGATTGAAAAATACTGATCTGTGTGATCAGTGCTGGGTGGCGTCACCAAATCGGGAGATCATTGCAGTTTGGTCATTTGTGGGCTTGTGCAAAGCCTACAAACCTTAATTGAAGTTATCTAATAATTCAGGGTGGGTTGTAATGAACTATCCACTTTATCTTCTTGAGACTGTATTGATATTTGAGTGTCATTCATTCAGTTCTAGGGAATGATTTGTGTTTTCGTTGTGACTTTTTTCTCCTGACAGTGTTTACCGACTGATGAGTCAGACC